CTTTCCCTAGAGGGAACTCTTCTAACAGATTAAAGTCAAGTTCTTTACATTTTGTTTGAAGAACTTCCCAGAGTGCTTTATGTTCTTGTTTGAGTTGCTCGAGGTGGTTTCTTTGTTCATCAAAATCTGCTGCAAGTTTAGTGTGCTCTTCCCTTTCTTTCTGAAACCTTTTCATATCTTCTTTCCTGACCAAAAGCTCCCTCTGTAAGGCTTCTTTTTCTTTTTTTAATTGATTCATAATATTAATGTCGTTGTTGGGGTCCAGACACTTCTTTCCATCGCCAGCACTTAAACCAGGCTCTTCTGAACTGGAATTTTTCAACAGTTCTTCCTTCTTCTTAACTTCAGACTTCATCTTTTCAAGAGCTAAGAGCAGCTGAGAACGTTCCTCTTCATATGCACTTGCCTTTTCATCAAGCATAGATTGCATATGAGCAAGCTTGCAGTCCTTTTCCTCTAAAGATTTCAGGTTCTGCTCACATATATTTTGTTTTTCAGCAATGGCATCATTTAGTTCTGCAATGTTGTCCTGAAGTTTCTCTAAATAAGAAGCTTTTGCAGACAAAATTTCAGTCAGATCACTTATTTTGGCATCTTTTTCTGAAAGTTGTTGCTTCAAAGTTCCAAGATTAAGCTCAAAATCTTTATTTTGTACTTCAACAACTCTCAGCTTGTCCGTTAACTCATTAACTTTCTCCAGCAGCTCCTCTGCTTTTTTTTGCTCTTTTTCTATTTCTTCCTGTCCACTCTTTTCCAGTTTTCCAACTTTTTGCATTAGATCTCTTCTTATTATCAATGCTGCTTGAAGTTTCTTTTTCAGATTCTCTTTTTCCTTACCCATTTTCTCAAGATTAAACTGCATCTCCTCTTTTTCATTCACTAAATCTTTAAACACAGCTTCTCTACTGCTTAACGTAACCTGACTATGTTCCAGTTCTTTCTTACAATCCTCAAGTTCCTGCAATACTCTGTTTAGCTCTCCTACAGAACTATTATGAGCAGCTTCAAGGTCTTGCAGTTTGGTATTTAATGCGTTTCTCTCTTCAGAAAAATTCAGCATTTCATTAGACAATGATTCCATGATCTGGGTAACAGAACAGTCCTTTTCCTTCAGTTGCTGGCTTAGACCAGAAATTAAATCCTTCTGCTGATTTACCTGGGAAGTTAAGTTTTCAATGAGTTGATCTTTTTTTCCCATTTCTTCAAGGAGACTTGCTACTTTTTTACCTTTGACATGCAGTTTTTCTTGACTGGTTCTTACTATTTCTTCCAATTTATTTATCTTGTCTTGAAGAAAGTCAACCTGCTTATTTATTTCTGCAAAAGACTCTTCCCTTTCTTGCAAGAGAGACTGTTGTTTACATAATGTTTCCTTGATTGTGACCATTTCTTCTGACAGACATTCAATTTCAGATTCGTATTTGCCCTTCATCTTTTCAATATCGTTCTGCAGCAACTCCTTCTGCTTCTCAAGCGACTGCATACTTTTTAATTCATCTTTCATGGTGTCTATTTCTTTCTGTTTTTCTAAAAGCACCAGTTGCAATTGTTCTCCTTCTGTTTCTTTGCTCAAAATAGCAGTTATCAGAGTGGAGAATTTTTCCAACTGAATTTTGCTATCAGTCAGCTGCAGTTCAGAATCTGAACTCTGTGCCGCCTTTTCTTTACATAAAAGCCTACTACTAAGTAATGGAGATAAACTTTGAGTTAACTCCTCTTTCATAAGATCCAGCTCTTGCTGCAAAGACTGGATTTTGCTATCCTTTGATTTCATTTCACTTTCTAAACTGCTCAATTGCTCAGTAAGATGATTATTTTGCAAAGTTGCCCTATCAAGTTCTGTCACCCATTTGTTTTCTGACTCAAGTAGACTTTGTTCTAGAGTTTCAAGTTTAAGTTCTAATTTAGAGAGTTCTTCACCCTTCACACTAACCTGCATCTGTAATTTCTCTTTTTCACTCTTCATCTGCAGTTTGACGGCATCTATCTGCATTCTTGAATAATTCTCACTGGTTTCTAGTTTTTCATTGATTTCTCGGAGCTCTTCCAATTCCTTTTGCAAATGATTTTGAGATGTAGTAAGTTGCGCGTTTTCAGCCATCAGTTTATCAGCATCTTCTTGCAACTGATTTTTCTGTTTCTCTAAAGACTCTACCTGGCACTGCAGACTAGCTATTAAAAGCGCATTGTCACGGCAGTCTTGAGATGATTTGGAATTTACATTGTTCAACTCTAACTTCAAACACGCTATGTTATCTGCCTGTTCAGTGCACTTCACACGCAGAGACTCAACAGCCAATTCTTTTTGCTGTAGTTGTTCTTCCCATGTACTTATTTGGTCTAGTGCTTTTTGGTGTTCATTTTTAAGAGAGTCAAGTTCAATTGTCAAAGAATCAATCTTCTTCTGATTAATATCAAGCTTCTCATTCTTTTCCTGAAATTCCTCAGTAAGGTTTTTCATGGCTGTACCACTTTTCTCTAATTTTTCTCTGAGAACCTCAATCTCACTAGAAAGAACATTAACGTTGCTATCTGCCAACTGCATACTGGTATCTTTCTCCTTTAAAGAATTAAGCAGTCCAGCAATAACAACTTCTTTTTTCTCAAGAGCTGCATTCAACTCAGTTCTTAGTTCATACTGTGCTTCAATTTTCTCCTGAAGAGACAAAAAGGCATCTTCTCTCTCGTGGACTAGTTCTTTAGATTTCTGTAGTTCTTGTGTTAGTTCATCTACCTGACTTTTGAGCTGAGAAATTAAATTTGTCTTCTCTTCATCTTTCCTTGCTTTCTCCTTCAGAGTTTCAAGGAGACTTTTATTCTCCGTAAGAGATGACTCCTTTTCTGATAAGGACTGGTCCATCTCAATTATTACATTCTTCTGATGTTGTATTTCTTTTTGTAAATTCACCTTTGCTTCCTCCAGCTCTACCACCTGTTTCTTTAAGACCTCACATTCATTCTCTTTCTCTTGAAGTTGTGTCTTTAAATTCTCACTAGATAATGAAATATTGTTGATGGTCAATTCTTTTTCTGAAACAAGTACTTTTAATTGTTCTGCTTCGGAGACTAAAAGCTCCAACTGTTTCTGCTGCAAAACAGAAGATTCCTGCACCTCAGAAAGCTGTGCTTTTAAACTGATGTATTCATCTAACTTCTGTTTTAAAGATTCATCCTTCTGTATAATTGAATCATTCAACTGGGATGATTTTTCTGTCACATTTCTAAGCTGACATTGAAGGTCAGAAATAACCTCCATATTCTCAGACAGTTGAACCCTAAGTACATCAGACTCTTCAGATTTATCTTTTAATAACTTTAATTCTTGGGCTTGCCTCTTAAATTCATTTTCTTTTTCCTGCATTGCATGTCTAAGCTGGCTGGTTTCAAAACCTAGGGCTTGTATTTGGTTTTGTAGATCTGAAATGATTTGCATATATTGCCCTTCTCCTGCCATTTTACTATCTTTCATTTGCTGAATCAAAGCCTCCTTTTCAAAAAGGAGAGTTTCTTTTTCTTCAAAGACAGTTTTTAGGTTTTCTTTTTCAATCAAGAGGCCATCAATTTGGTCCTTCAGAGCTAAAATATTATGGCTTTGTTGGGACAAATGTGAAGTTAAAGCAGCCACTTCGTCTGACTTTTTCATTACCATTACACTAACTGTTTCAATGTCTACTTTCAATTTTTCGTTTTCTAGAGCTGCTGTATGTGCTTGTTGCCTTGCTGAAGTAATTTCAGACTGCTGCTGTACCAACTGTGACTGAAGAACTCCACATTCACGTGACTTCTCGCTCAATAAGCTTGAAAAGTCCTCCTTTTCATGCTTAAGCACATCCACTTCTTTGCTTAATAGCTGTAGCTGATTATTTAACACTGTACTTTCTTCCATTTTTTCAGAAATTTGCCTATGAAACTTCTCAAGTTCTGAACCCTGACTTTTTACAGTCAGGTCTCTTTCCTCTACCAGCTGAGATAACCTTGTTTTTTCATCTTTAAGATTTTTAATTTCATCCTGCAACTCTACAATACAAAACTTACTCTCTTCCATTGCCTTATGTAATGAATCATTTTGAAGGACCTTCTCTTCTAGAGACTTGTTCACAGCTTCAAAATCCAAAGTTACACTTTGAATTTGTTCCTGCAGTAGTAAATTCTTTTCCTTACTATGGCTGAGCTCTTGGATTAGGCTACTGCATTCAGATAACTTATTATTTAACATTTCTTCTTTCTTTATTTCTTTGTCTCTACTATCCTTCAGCTGAATGAGAAGTGATTGCATTTGTTCATGCAACTGTTGTGTCTGTTCCTTGCTTTCAGACAACTGATCAGCTAGCACATTACATTCCTTTGTTTTCTCCTGCAGCTGTTCTGCAACTGAATTTTCTTTTTGCTCAGCAAGTATTGAAAGTTGTTCAATCTCTTTTGCCAGAGTGTTTTTGTCACAATTCAGTACTGAAAGAGTTTTTTCGTACTCAGCAGTGCTAACAGAAAACTTATTCTCTATTTCTGCCACAGCCTGGATTTTCTTTAATAATTCACATTCTTTTACATCCAGGAGTTTGGACAAATTCTCATTTTTACTGATTAGCTGTTCCTTCTCTTTTTCCACCAGATCTATACTTTTTTTCAGATATTCATTTGCTTTTATTTGCTCTGCCAGTTTTTCTTCCTTCCCTTCAAGATCTGCCTGCAATTGCTTATTAGCTGAAGCTTTCTCCCGTGTCTCTATTTCCATCTTGTTAATTTGTTTATGTATTTCATTTAATTGGTTATTCAGTTCTTTGCAACATGTCTCTTTGGCTTTCAGATCTCCAGTTAATTTAAGTTTAGTCTCTTCATTTTGCTGCTCCAAAACCCCAAGCTTCTGCTCTAATGAAGTAATGAACTCTTGTTTCTCTTGTAATTCTTTTTTAATTGTTTCCTGATGTTCAGTACGTTCCATGAGCTGCCTAGATAACTCAGCCAACTCTTCATCTTTTTTAGCATTTTCCAAAACCAGTTTGTTATATGAATCTTTAATTGATTTTAACTCATTTTCAAGTGTCTGTGCTTTACTCTCTTTCTCTTTAAGCAAATTGTTCCATTTTTCCTTCAGAGTATTGTTTTCCTCAAGCTGAGATTTCAAATACTCAGTTTCTTTTCTTTGCTTATCCTCAGTTTCTTGTAGCTTTTCAGATGATTTACTAATTTGTTCTTTCAGCAAAGTAATTTGTGACTCACACTCCGCGAGTTTGTTATGGTACGCGACATTGTTGGCTTTGATTTCAGAACGGAGATCCTTAATTGTAATGCTGTTCTCACTGCTTTGTCTTATTAACTCCTCATTTTCTTTGGTTTTAGCTTCATTCTCAACTCTAACTCTTTCTAGCTCTAGTCTCATTGTATTACTTTGCTCAGAAAGGACAGATATCTTCACGCTTGCATCTCTTACATCAGCTGTTTGTACTTCTTTCAGTAAATGAGTTTCCCTTTCAGCCTTTGATAAAGCCTCTTCCATCCCTCGTATTTCTTCCTCTTTGCATTGCACTTGGTGCTTCAGGATGATAACCTGTTCAGAATATTCTGTCATATTCAAAGACAGGACAGACATCTCCCTGTCTTTTTCTGCCAGTGCTTCTTTAAGATTATCAATTTCTCTTTCACGTTTCTGGAGATCTTGAATAAGTTGAGATCTTTCCTCTAAATGGCTCGTATTCAATTTGTCAAGCTCTTCATTTGTCTGGTCCAGATCCAGCCGCATCGATTCTACCACGCCATCTTGTTTCAAAGTCTAAACATCAAGAAAATAATGTTACAAGAATACTTCAAACATACGTTAGAGGGAGAATGGAAGTTATGCTCCACATGTAGAACAAGTATCTAAGGTAATCAATCTGTACCCAACCACATAGTAACAAGATAACCATGTTGTTATTTAGATTGTTTTAGCATACAGAAAATTTAGCGTATGAAATTTTTAGCAGCTAATGCTGCTATTTTGCTGACATTTAAATGGGTCATGTCAAAAGAACAAAATTTCTTCTCTTACTTTATATTAATGAGTTACCTTTTCCTTCAGTGTAGCAACTTTTTCTGTTAGATCACCGATGACTGTTTTCTGCTCAGTGTTCTCCACTTCATAAACACTGCATTTCTTTAAGGCTTCATTCAGCTTAGTATTAAAAATAAAAGTCAATGTGGTAGAAATAAGTAGAATTATATTAAAATGATGATGTTAGAGTTATAATACTTTAGCTACATTTACATAGCAGTGGAGTTTATACTTTGAAATTAATAAGTGAGGAAAACTTATCGCTCCAATAAAACATAAATACTTTCGTGCAAAGCTTTCAGAAGTCCTTACACCCAACTTAAAGCAGAGCAGTTACATGAAGTGAACAAAATGGTAAAGAAACAGAGCAAAAACCTTCAGATACAGAAAATAGCAATATTGCTGCTGGGACACAAATAGAAAGTTATGGCTAATGCTCGCGAGTTCAAATAAATTAAATACTACTTAACAATAACTTAAACTTACTTTTTGCTCAGTATGCACAAACTTTTCACCAAGCTCTCTGTTCAGAAGATCTTTTTCTTGAAGCAGTTTCCTCAAAGTTTCAAGTTGTTCTAGTTTTTCTGTCGTGCTCAACAGTTTTTGTTCTTTTTCTCCAAGCGAAGTTTCAAGGAAGCTATTTCTGTCACTTAATCTAAGAAGAAAATACATATTTAGATACTTTGAAAACAAATCTGGCATTAAGCTTTCTAGACTTATTAGCCCCAAACTATATTTCTAAAAGAATAATTATTTTTACACTTCCCATTTAAACTTCTGAGTACAAAAATAAAATTACTGCAAACAGAAGCAGGAATCAAGTAACTCTTTTTCAAGTGTTTTAAGAGATTATACTTCTCATTAGAAGTTTAAGCTTAGAGCAAAGAAAGCTAATCCTGTATGGAGTTGCAAAGAACCTTTATTTTACCCTTTAAGCTGCTCATTCAAGCCAGAGATCAGAATTTGATGTTTTTCCCCATCTCGCATTTGTTGGTTGCGTAATTGGGTGAGTTGAGTTTGCAAACGTTCATTTTCATTCTGCAACAAAATAATAATGAAGAGGATTATCACATACAAACACCCAGAATAGCGTAAAATAACTGGAGTCATGAAAATCTGACTCTTCAGGAGATTTACATCCTACTAGAGACCGTTATTCTAGCACTTTAGCAGATATCAGTGCAAAATACGACACTAATATCACAAGTTCAGATGTGATATTAGTTCAAATAGATGCGACCCACCTTTCAGAAATACCTCCTTCAGCAATGCTATGATAGCATGAACTCAAGGATGACTGCTGTATACCCAAAACAACACGCACACTCATACTGTGTTAAGGCAGCTTACTTATCTTCCTAGGGGAAGCTACTGCTTTGAGAAAGTACTTTCCTCATTGGGTTGAAGACAGTACCAAACTTGTAATTTTTTTTTTGCCTATTTTTTCAGGTTGAAGGAATGCAGAAACCTGCACATAGGGGATTGTGGAGAAAAGAAAAAGGAAGCAAGCTTCATTCACACAGCTTTTTTTCTTTTTTAAACACAGTAAAAATCTCCTACTCTAGCCAGATCCACCGCACCAATTCAAAAATAAAACCACAAAAAAAGTCTGACAACAGCAACCAAAAACCAAAAGCAGAACATATATCCAGAATCAAAAGCAAATAGGACAAACACGGCAAACTTGTCACCTCTAAGGAAAATAAGCTAGCATTTTGGAGGAGGCCGAACACACCTGTACCGCCCTCAACAGCTGCCCTTCTTCATCTACACCAAACGTTACCTGTATTGAAAGGCTTTGTTACAAGATTCTCAAATAATAATTAACACAAGGTTGTCTTTCATCTTAAAATCATTACTTCTTTTTTATATATCTGCAACTTAACAGATAAAGAACTATGAATAATGTACCAAGCCTGAAGGAGTTTGAGTAAGAGATCAGTTGTGTCATTTCGTGAAAATAAGGTTTACAAATTATCATAGTAACTTGTCAATCAGGAAATATTAAAAATAACTTTTCTGATAAATATTTACTGTTCCTTTTGGTGCGTTCATTGAATAATTTTACAATATAAATATATATCAAATTAATGCCTGGGGTTTAGATTGTATATATAAAAATAAATATTAAATTACTAATTATTTTTATATATTTACACAGTTTCTTTTCTATAAGAGTGTGTGTGTGTGTGTACATAAAAATAATAATGCACAGACACACATATTTATATGAAAGAAACTTGAGGTATGTAAGAAGAGGGAGACCTAGGCCAGCAGTAACAAAATCTAATTCTGGACCTTCTGACAAAGGCCCCCTACAAAGAATAAATGAAAATCATGTTGCCTTTTACTATGTTTCTAAAACAAATAACAAAGCTTACTTTCAAACAAGCTTCTCCGTGTGACGACTTTTACTGAACAGAAGCGACAGGCTTCAACTTCAGAGCATAATAGTATGCGTACACTCTCTGCCAACATAGTTATGAAGTATAAAGTAGGCTTTAGACATTTTTGCTAGCTGCAAATTGACCTTTTTGTCTTACTGTAGGCCATGATTGTAAGAATATAAACAGAGAATAAAATGATTCTCTTTTATTGTCAGGTTTTACACAACCACCAAAGCTCACCTGAAGAGCCTCCATTCTACCTTGAAGCTGCAATCTATCTTCCAGATCCTGACAACGCTCTTCTAGAAAGAGAATTTGTTCCTGCAGTTGATTTCTTTCCAATTCCAACTCTTCAACCACACTCCGTAAACCTACTTAAGTCAAAAAAGAAAAATAATTTCAAGAAGGGTCTACTAGAATTCCTGAAGTCTAGAAATGGTTTCAGCTTTTTATTCACGATTCTCATCAGTGTTGGGCACAATCAGATCTCAACCATTTCCAGTGGAAATGCCTGAGGCCCTGTACTTCCAAAAATTAGATGGCAAAAGTACGCTTAACTGTTGAAAAACCAAAATAAAGTTGCATAGCTCAAGAACTCGGAGAACCTGGCAGAAATATTCTAACCAATATTGTGGCTCAATCAATACTGGGGCTCATGTTACTTTCATCACAAGTTAATCGTGTACTTGCAGGATCAGATTTTAATCAATTACTAATAAACAAAGTAAACTGGTCTCTATCAAAATTTGCAAGTGAGTCTATTCCATTTTAACAATAAGATATATTTGCAGCCTTTACCACTGATATAAAAATATCTGCATTAAAAAAATAAGCATTTTATTTTTAAATTAAAAGCATACAGCAATGGCATGCAATTCTGGTTTGCAACATAATTGTTATATAGATTGGAAACACATTCACAGGAACAAGACTCATAACTTAAAAAACACATGATCTGATCACATAGGGTATTTCATGGGCACCAAGGCTCAACCATTTCCAGTGTGTAGTCATATTTATATTCTACTTCTGAACCAAAACTAGGCAGTTCATCCAGCACGCACATGCTTTAAAATGAAAAGGAAGAAAACGCAAGCCAAAAAAATTCAACAACAATTAGAATACACCACAAATGGGTTGTTAGTTGAATTTGAAAACAAAAATAGACACAAAATACAGATGCTGTGCATGCTTTAATAAACTGTCTAGTCGCTATCACACCTGCATTAGGTGAAGTGTACTCTGGCCACCAACCTCCCATATTTTCTCCTTCAGCTGAATCAGTGCTATCCAAGGTGACGTTCAATTCCTGAAAGCATTGTTTTCTATCAAAGTTGTATTCTTCCTATGCACAAAACATGACAATGAAGTTTAAATTAAAGAAAGGAAGCAAGGGTAAAATACATATTCTGTTATTAAAAGCGTAGTTTCAATTAAAAGTCCTAAAACTCGGCAAGTGATTCAGGTGCCTAAATATAAGTATATGGGATCGCTGTGGACACTAGAGTGACCTGCCCAGCTCCCAGCTATTACTTCCAGAAAAGCCAAGTCTCCCACAGGTTTTGGATGGTATCTGTCTGGCCTTTGAAGACACCCTCAGGCATCTGAAAGGCCAATGGATAACTATGTTTGGATACCTTAATTGGTCCCCTGATTTCTACAGTTAATAGGGTTCTCTGAATCTCAGGGTAAAGTATCGGAGTTAACTAAACATAAAATTATTCTTCCAATGGTATGTTAATGTGACAATGACATCCTAATTCTTCTTACAAAAGATTATCATTTTTTTGTGCGAGTTACAGCACCAACTACCTAGAAGTACATCTGAATGAACTGACGCTACTTACTAATTATTCAGTAAAGCTCCACCAACAAAGAGATTTGTAAAGATTGTACGTAAACCAAAAATGGTTAACATATTAACATATTAAGCATGCACATAGCTTCAAGGTGTGCACTACTCCAGAGGGAAGCTTGTTATTTTTCAGCATGAAATTAAGTAGACTTATTACTCAAGGAATAGAAAGGTGTGATGCCATCAGAACTTCTCATCTTCTGGCTACATACACGATCATTAAATTTACCGAAGTTTTCAGTTACATAATTAATCTAAGTTCTTAAGCCCTTCATGTTTTTAAGTGTAAAGCACCATATAAATAATAGTACTTTCCATATTTTTATTAACATACAGGTAAAAATAAACTCTTATCTCTTTTAACCCACCTGAAGCTTCCTGCTGGTCTGATTGCTTTTTCTTCTTGCCTGCTGCAGCCTGCCCATTCCTTGAACTGTGGTCAGTTCCTCCTCCAGCTCCTGTTGCCCTGAGACCATGGCTGGATCAGAGCAGCCAGGAAAGAACCAGTCATCCTCAATCAGTTTTGTGCCACAGGAAAGCAATTACATTTATATCAGACACTACTACACGAAAAGAGACCAGGGACAGGCTGAAGTCCCTATGAATGACTGACAGGAACACGATTAAAGAAGCAATCCATTGCGTTCACCTTGTGATTTCCCTCCAACCTTACCATGTCGAACATAAGAATAAAGTCTGCGTATCTCACTAAGAAGAAGCAAACTGAAGTCTAACTTTACTTCTTCATCAGCTCTAAATGAAGACTTTATACAGGAGACTGGAAAGGGTGAGGTTATGCTGATAATAAAAAGAAAGCCAACCAATTAAAATGCCAAATTACATCTCATTTCAATTTACCAGGTTAAAATATACCTAATTTGTATGATAAAGGCATCAGCTGAAAGAGCTGTGTGTGGTTTTTATAATCTGAAAAATCACATTCATTTTTATGGAAGTGACATGTGTCCCTTTCAACTTTAATTTTACTACGAGCTACAAAGCCAGATAATTTGAGGAAGTCACAAGCATGTGTTACACTGCAAACTGGCATCAAACCATCTTATCATAAATTATTAATACCATTCTTTTTAAAACAAATACAGAATCACTTGTAAATAAGCACACTGAATAAATTTGGAATATGAAAGCTTCGGTATGCATCCTGTTCATTGTTAGAAATTATTTTTCATTTAAAGTACATTCCCATCTGTTTTGTGATATGACAAAACATGTTTGGGGTAACAGATTAGGCAATAGATGTTTCATGCAAAGCAGACAAAAAGGAACAGCCAGTGAAAAGGAATGAAAGTAAAGGTGGCTCCATACTTTAATTGAAAATTAATTAGATAATTACAAATTTAGCTTTCAATTTAACCACATCACTCCACAGTTGTCCTCACAGCATGCAAAATTCAGAGAACTTATGTCGATGCATCTGTGAGGTAAACACCAGAAACTCTGAGGAGATTCAGCCCTACTGGGAATACTCAGCTTTCACCCGAGTTGTCCAAGGATTACGTATAGCACAGATTTCATTAACACACAATTCTGTAACACCTACTAGATTTAAGTGCCTCCTGTAATATTTCACAATTACACACTTAACGCATTGGCAGAACAGATTAGAGGAAAAAAGTTAAAGAAAAAAATTAATGACCCTTCTAAAGCAGGACTGCTAAATTGGATTTTACTTCTGGTTTTAATTACGCTTTGGCTTCTGGCACTGTCACTTTATCAGCATTCATTTTACACACTTTTGTTTATTTTCAAGTATAGATTCTACAACTTTTTTTTTAAATCATGATACTTCTTCAAAGCCATAAAAATAAATGCCAAATTTTGGTCACATGCTTTAAACCTCTGTTTACAAGAACCGTCATTGAAGTCAGTCAAGCAATTCAAGGAGCAAACATCATTCCACATAAGAACTTAACCCCTTCTTTAGAGGAAAATAAAATAAAATAAAAAATTCAATTTCTTGGAAGTTGAAATTGAGGTAATCTGTTTTTAAGTATAATCTGAATGAATAACACACTGTCCTTTAGGAACCCAAAATATTTAGGCTCCTAAGTATTTGATAATGAAAAAAAGAATGAAATTACCATTGTCACATGAAAAATGAAAGTATAGAGATCGGAGCATTAGAATGATTTAGAACACTTAGGCAAGTGTTAAAACACTTTCAGTTAAATTCAGCATTGCTTTAACAACAATTAGTAAGTAAATATATTTTCTAATGTTTTACAGCAGCTTAGGGAGCTTTTCATTTGCAATTATATCTAACGTAAAAACTGAAAAATTTCCCAGAACACCTTTCTTAGATATACACTGCATTTAAGGGAATACGGACACATCATTAATTAATTTGTGTCACTATTCACACTAAATATCACAATCTTTAGTGGTCTGCAGGGGAAACGAGCCCCAGTCTATAAATGTAATCAATACTGTCATCCTCTACGCTTTTGCAGCTCCCCACACGTTCAACCCAAAAGTGACAATCGCCATATATGGCAAATTGTCATAGGCCGAGAGAATGAGTAGTGGGTTTATATATTACTTAAAATATTGGTAGCTAATACAGAATCATAGAATGGTTAAGGTTGGAAAAGACCTTTATCATCATCGAGTCCAACTGTTAACCTATCACTGCCAAGCCCACCACTAAACCATGTCCCTAAGCACCACATCTACCCATCTTTTAAATACCTCCAGGG